CCAATATCTCTCTCAAAACTTAACAGTAATACCAATAATGTAGTTGTCAGGCAGGTCTCCGCACCTAAAGCCATAAACACCCTTTCCAAGAGCAGCCTGGGAAGCTTCTCCAGGTTCTAGCCTCGTGATTTGAAGTCCCTGGTACTGCTCTGAATGCTGACAATCCTGCCTTTTATATCCTGCCCTTTAGCTATGTGTCACAGCAGGAGGGAAATTCCACACTTAGAGAAAGGTGGGAGGGGTAGGAGGGAGTTAATCAAGCCGGGGTTTTCTTTTCCATTAAAAAGATAAAAAAAATGCAGCAGTTGAAAGCTGCTCAGATGGTTCAGCAAGTCAGAATAAATCTTAGGGGAAGCTGATTTTAGTGAGCAGAACACAAGTAAACACAGTCACCACGTGCAGCGACTAGGGCCATCTATTACCACCGAAAACTCAGCAACTGTAGGTGTCACAAGAAGTTGCAGCATCTCTGCCCCTTTCCGTCTCCTCTCTACTGGGCAAGGAAGGTATAGAGCACTCTGACATTAGCTGCTATGGAAAAAGAAGGTCATACTCCTGACAGATGCCTCCAGGGCTGCAGCTATAGCCTCGAGGGGAGCGAGAAGGAGCCCTGCTCCCACCAGCAGGCACTCTTCCTGGACAGTAATTTCTCTTGGGTCCAAACAGAAATTTTGCCTGTCTCATGGGTCTAGGTTGGGAAATGAATTTGAGCAGGAAAACAGAAGCAGGCAACTGTCTTTCATTTCCACACTACTTTCAAAAATAACAATACATAGGTAATAGGTTTAAAGCTGCTTGTTTGTCCCAGTTTTCAACCTTGAGTCATCCACCCAAGTCCTTTAAGAAAAATCGACTGCTACTAGAAGTCTGACTGACTAAGAACTGAGACCGTCATCATTTTGAATTCAAAGTAAATGCAGAAATAGCACCCTCACAATTTGTTCACTCAGTTTGAAATCTACATATGGGTCAGAGCCTCAGAAAACGTGAATTTGTTTAGCTTCAGTGACCCATTTCCAACAGACGACTGCCTGGCCTGCAGCACAGTATTAGTTAATTACTAATACTAGCCCTGGAAGTGCTTCTTGATATTACCTTTAAGGTTCACTTTTCCATGAGTTAACAGGGCCTGTGTGTACATGGCCTGCAATGTCAAGGAGGACAGGCAGACTCTCAGAATTAGGAACAAGCCAACCCATGGCTGTAATGGAATACTCACGTATAATTAGTCATATATAATTAGTTCTGCTTCTGATTTGCCACACCATGATTTGCTCCCCCCACCCACCCACACAAAAAAAAGCCCAAGAAAACCCAACACTCAAACATGTTACTACCTCCCTACTGCGAGACAAAACAGCGCTTGCAGCCAAAGCAACATACCCTAAAAAGACGGCATCCCGCTAATTAAAAGGCTGGATAAGTTTCCCCAGACCTTCTGATTTACTGCAAGTTCAAGAGCTTTTCAAAATAAGTGCTCTTGACACAGGGCATTCTGCTTTCCTCCTCGCTCACTACTCAGCCAAAGCAGTGTATTTCCTATAAGGAGACAATTCTAGTAAAGGAGGGGACTGCACACAGCCTCTGGTGTCAGCCACAGTTTGACAAATCTGGCATGCTCAACAGCAGCTTCAAGTACTCAACGATCATGTGTTCTTGCAGTCTTCCTCCAGGATACTTGAAAGAGCTTACCTCTTGATATTTACCACCCATAGGGATGAGTTTCTGGATGTCAGGCTTGGAAGTAGTCCAAATTCAAGAGCTCCGATGCAGCACTTCCCAGTTTTTGCAAAGCTTTACTTAAGAGCACTTCCATCCTTTGAAAAGAAAGAGACATTCATCTAACAGGTGACAAAGCCCATTAGTTTGCCATAATGTGGATCTAAAATACAACAAATCTGGAGACAAGTTGTCTGTCTCAACCTCTTTGACCTGTACTATTGTAGAAGGATGTATATAGCACTTCAGTTAACAACAGAGACAACAGATTGTTGTTGTTGTTATTATTATTGTTACTTACAAAGCTGTGAGTTGATTAGGTCCCAACAACTCACAGATGGCCTAAGGACAAATGCAAAGACCATAAAGTGGCCATCATCTTCTGTAAATGGAAACCATAAAAGCCATATGTTAAGAAATGACAGCAATAGGAATAAGTTTAATGATTTGGAATAGCAAATTCAAACTTGTGCTCCTTGCAACTTACAACATTCAGAGTATCTTACCTGAAACCATGTAGGTGACCATTCACTGCTGAGTTATCCAAATAGCAACCCAGTCTATTCTGGCCTGCACCCTTCTGCCCTGCTTCCCCAACTCTCAAGGCTCTCCTTTCTCACCTCATGGATGGAAAACTAAACCCACTGACCTGGTGGAGCACCAGACCACCATGTGTGCAATTGCACATCTGTCAACAGACCCATCAGCAAGCTGAAAAACCAAACCCAGCCTTCCACATGCCTTTCAGAGGCGCTCCCTGTAAGGCTTCACTTATCCCTGTGCTCCATTACTTAACATCACTTTTTGCATCCCCTCAGCAGAGCCCAGACCAGGCACACACCCCTGAAGCCATGTTGACTTGCAGGTAGCAGAACTGAGGGTCTATCCCATTCACTGCCCACTCCATTCAGCTTCAACGTGTCCCAGTTACCAATCCCACAGTTTTCAGAGCCGTTAGATGGAGGCTGGGCTAATCTGAAAAAGCTCGCGCTGAGATACGCTGCAAGCCCTTGCAGCAGCGTCTCCATTGCAAGCAGCAGAGCTCAAGCAGACATCTTTTGCTTGCACGTCTGCATCCCACAGAAATGCGCTGCCTACTTATTTGTGGCTGGAGAGGATGTTTCAAAGGAAAGCTCAAGCAAACGGCTGGAAGAAACCTCCATGGTAAGAGCCAAGCATGCAGCACTGTGTTTTAATGCAGCCTGGTTCCCAGGGCCACCATCTGCCACACACTGGCGCTGGTGTAAACCACACTGTCACCGCCATGGTGCGTGACCACACCAATGCCCCTCGTTGCAAGCACCCTACCACAGCCAAGGTGATGAGGGCAGATCCAGAGAGGGTTTTGTGGAGTGGGAAGGGAAAGGCAGGAGACGCACAGACAGCCGTGTGCCAAAGAGC